TATTACAGCGAAGATACATCCTAATAAACTAATCAGATGGTGGTTATTACAGCGTAAGATACATCCTAATAAACTAATCAGATGGTGGTATTACTGCGAATATACATCGTAATAAACTAATCAGATGGTGGTTATTACAGCGAAGATACATCCTAATAAACTAATCAGATGGTGGTTATTACAGCGAATATACATCCTAGTCAACTAATCAGATGGTGGTTATTACAGCGAAGATACATCCTAATAAACTACTCAGATGGTGGTTATTACTGCGAATATACGTCCTAATAAACTAATCAGATGGTGGTTATTACAGCGAAGATAAATCCTAATCAGCTAATCAGATTGTGGTTATTACAGCGAAGATAAATTCTAATCAGCTAATCAGATTGTGATTATTACAGCGAAGATACATCCTAATAAACTAATCAGACGGTGGTTATTACAGCGAAGATGCATCCTAATCAGCTAATCAAATGGTGGTTACTACATCAGGCGGACATCTTAATCAACCAATCAGATGGTGGCTTTTACAGCAGATGAACATCTTAACCAATCAAATGATGGTCATTTCTAACCGCGAACGCCCTCTCACTGATCTGGTGAAAGATAAAAAGCCATTGTCAGCTTTATCCAGTGAAAATATTCTATCTGAGTAGGTGAATTGTATGCTAAATTTCTAACTACGGAAATTTACATATAATATGTTGTTAAATTGCTTAGGTTATTAAAATACGTGCAAATGAACTAAAACTAGTATATCACTCTACTCGTGTAAGTGTAATAAAGTAAACCTCGTTGCATTACACTATAAAAACTCGTTCTCAATTAATCCAAAAATAGAGGAATAGTGTACATTTTATGACTAAGCTGTTAGTCCAAATAGTAGTTTTCGAATTACTCAAGGCATAATGCTAGCAATGGGAATATACAGATGTTAACTGTGTTGTTTTTTGTTTCTAAAAATGCTTAAAAAAATATGGAAGTTTTCTAAGTTACCTTGTTATTTTCTTATGCATTTCACTGAACGTAACGTTATTACATGCATTTTTTATACAAAGAATAACTAGAGCAAGACAGAAACGCGCTTTTGTTCAGCCTATACCGAAACTGAAAACAATGAAATGATTTGATTTCCAACTGAAATTTATTATGTTGCTCTGTGAACTGTGAAATGTTATGACATAATAAAAAATGGGAAACACGAATAAATTTATTTATGTAGTTCGGTGAACGTAATCAAGTGAAGGGAGACAACAAGAAAAAATATTCACTGTTTGTCAAGAAACACGATGATCTCAAATTTTAAACATGTCAACACATGTGCAACAACTTTGTGTATTTTATTTCATAAAGTTATAAAAAAAGAGCAATTTCATTAGGTTTTTTATTAACAGAGTATCTCATATTGGCTTAGCGGTAAGTCAGTGGTTTATGACACTAAAAACCGGCTTCCGATACCCGTGGTGGGCACAGCGCAGAGAGTTCATTATGTTTATTTGTGCTTAAAAACAAACTAACTAACAAAGTACAGCTTCACATACTACTAATAAACGTATTTAGGGATTAACGTTTTTAAAACTTTATTTGACAACAAAATAAAATATAAGATTGTTTGTACCCGTAAACACCTTACCTGATAGCAGAAATTATATTATTTCCCCGAAAGAAGTCCGAAGGCCGCCTCAAGGGGTCGCTTGTTTTAGTCACTCGCACCACTATACAATAGTGTGTTGTCTGGCGTCACATAAGGGACGCTTAATGTTGCAATTTGAACTATCAGTAAAACATGCGCATGCCATGAATCACGAGAAGAATTATGCATTCTGTAGGCTATAACACATCATGACATAGGAACTTGAAAAGCAAGAAATAAATATGTTTGTTACTCTTAATTTTGGTTTTATTTACTCTCTAAGCAGAATACTTTCGGGGACCCTGCAAAAGTACATCTCATATATTTCATCATCAGTTTTCTTCATGATTAGGTCTGAGAATAATCAGCTAAAGAAATCTCTCAAAGTAGCTTTTGTGTTATCATAGATTGTGTTTTATAACGTTTGTGATAAATCCTACCAAAGCTATGATGAGTGTACAACCTATAAGTTTTGAATCCAACAATATTTTGATGGGTACATAGTTCACGAGTTTAAACTACAACAATATTCTGTTGACTGTACAGCTTATGACTTTTGAATCCAACAACATTCTGATGTGTATACAGCTTTTAAGTTTTGAATCCAACAATATTCTCCTGACTGTACAGCTTGCCCCCCAGTGGCACAGCGGTATGTCTGCGGACTTACAACGCTAGAAACCGGGTTTCGATACCCGTGGTGGGTAAAGCACGGATAGACCATTATGTAGCTTTGTGCATAACTTAAAACAAACAAACAAACTGTACAGCTTATGAGTTTGAATCCAACAATATTCTGATGATTGTACAGCTCATGAGTTTTGAATCCAACAATATTCTGATGATTGTACAGCTCATGAGTTTTGAATCCAACAATATTCTGATGAGTGTATGCCTTATGATTTTTGAAACCAACAATATTCTGATGATTTTACAGCTTATGAGCTTTGAATCCAACAATCTGTTAAAGGCTAGTGCACTTGTTACAAACAAACTGCTAACGTTGACGTGCCATTTAGTTTCATCTTATAAATTGTTCATAAAAACGGTACATTAAATATAGAAATAGCATAATCTGAACAAGAAACAAATTATAATCATTGTTCTGAAATGAAAGATTATTCACCAGCAGCAGTTGAGAGGTAGTATGATATAATAAATTAATTATGTGTTTAATTGAAACAATACACCTGGGGCATTTTTTCTTTATACAACATTCATCAATGGTAGCTTTCACAATGTTTCTCCATCTTCGTTTTTTTAAACAAATATGTCGACATTAAGAATTACATTTAAATTTCTTTCAATACATACACACACGCATACAAATCTACTGTGGGATATACCCGTTACTTTGTAAATCTTTTACATATATTTATTTAGAATCAGCGATGACGTTTCAATAGTATGATATTTCCATGGAAGTAAGCAGTGAAAT